TAAACAACTGGAGCAGAATGAAGCCAATGTTTGCTTGAGCTGAATTCAAGGAATTTTAAGGTTAAGGGTAGTTACAAAGGAAGCTCAGCATAGTGGTTTCTTACTAGTGCTAATGACCCTGGGGCAGTCACTTGGCCTGTTTTAGTTTCATTTGTAAAATGGTAATAATAACAGTATCTATTTTATATGGCTGCTATCAGGATTAAATTAGTTAAGATATGTAAAGTGCTTAGAAAAGAACCTGGCACACAGAAAGTGCTCAGTATGAGTAAGCTATTTTATCACTATTGTTGTTTCTGTTATTGTTTATTCATACAGTCACTGACATCTGGCAAGATGATGTCAAAATCTAGATGAAAGAGAAAACTAAGCCAACAATACAGTAATCAAATAGAGCAATGGGACTGGGCTCAGTGGCTCATGCCTATAATCCCACCACTTTGGAAGGCTGAGTTGGGAGGATCACTTGAGTTCAGGAGTTCACTATATTGCCCAGGCTGGGCAATATAGTGAGACTGCCATCTCTACAAACATTTAAAAATTAGCTCAGCACGATAGTGCATGCCTGTAGTCCCAACTACTTGCGAGACTGAGACACGAGGTTGCAGTGAGTCATGGCTGTACCACTGCACTCCAGCCTGGGCAGTAGAGTAAGAGCCTGTCTCAAGGGGAACAAAAAGGGCAATGGTATGGCTGAATGGTATGCTTTGGTATAAACAATGTGATATTAAATATAAAAAATATTTTAGGCCGGGCGCGGTGGCTCAAGCCTGTAATCCCAGCACTTCGGGAGGCCGAGGCGGGTGGATCACGAGGTCAAGAGATCGAGACCATCCTGGTCAACATTGTGAAACCCCGTCTCTACGAAAAATACAAAAAATTAGCTGGGCATGGTGGCATGTGCCTGTAATCCCAGCTACTCAGGAGGCTGAGACAGGAGAAGTGGCTGAACCCAGGAGGCGGAGGTTGCGGTGAGCCGAGATCACGCCATTGCACTTCAGCCTGGGTAACAAGAGTGAAACTCCGTCTCAAAAAAAAAAAAAAAAAAATTTTAAAATCCATCAAATATTTACAATCTTGTGACTTAACACATATACAAAAAACCACAAGACAATCATAAAGGTACCAATTGAGAATGAGTAAGTACAGTAGTACATATATACAACATTACAAAGAGTTTTGAAAATGCTCTGACTGAAAATCACGGAAACCACATCAGGACACTAAATTGTACTAAAATGAAAATGAGTTGGAGTTAACTTTATTTCACCATTTCTATACAGAAATGGTAGGCGGGGTGTGGTGGCTCACGCCTATAACCCCAGCACTTTGGGAGGGCGAGGCGGGTAGATCACAAGGTTAGGAATTCGAGACCAGCCTGGCCAACATGGTGAAAGCCCATCTCTACTAAAAATACAAAAATTAGCTGGGCATTCTGGTGGGTGCCTGTAGTCCCAGCTACTCAGGAGGCTGAGGCACGAGAATCACTTGAATCCCAGAGATGGAGGTTGCAGTGAAATGATGCACTCCAGCCTGGGTGACAGAGCAAGAATCCACCTCAAAAAAAAGAGAGAAACAAATGGTAAAGCATGAGTTCCTTGAGGGTAAATAACTAAATCTCTACATGCACCCTCAGTTAACAGATAATGCCTATAGTAAAAGGGCACATCAATGAATCAGTGGGCCATTAACCAAACAGTTCAAGTCTGAGAAGTCCAAGGCATCTTTCTATCTTTATTTTTAACAGGCAAGGTCTGAGCCCAGAGTGGAGTGCCATGGCACCATCATAGCTCACTCTAATCTCAAACTCAAGCAATCCTCTCAACGTGGCCTCCTGAGGCTCTAGGACTACAGACAGATCCCCACACCCAGTTTTGTTTTGTTTTGTTTTGTTTGTAGAGATGGGAGTCCTGCTATGTTGCCCATGCTTGTCTTAAACTCTTAATGTGAAGTGATCCTCCTGCCTGAGCCTCCCAAAGCACTGGGATTACAGATGTGAGCCACTGTGTCCAGCCCAAGGCACCCTTTGCAGGTTTTTCCTACCACAGTCACATCTGTTTAATTTCTCTTCTATCCTGATAAGCTGCACAAAAAAAGTTCAAGTAGTATGCATATTTATTCATTCTCTTTCACGGAATCCAGAAATTCAACAGTATCTGTTCAAATAAGGCCATCTTTCCAAGAGAAATACATGAAATAGATATAAAATATCTTTAACTTCAGAGCATTATGAAATTATATCATGTTAGTTTACAAGACGAAAGGATATGCTTCCTCCTGGAAAAGATCTACTATGATTAACAGCCCGGGAAGGGGATTACAAACAGGAAGGCAGGGGGCCCATTGTCCTTTACTTTGTACCCAGGACAAGACCACAGTGGGAAAATGGCCTAGAAAGCTTTGGCCTTAAGAAAGACTCAGTTGGCAGACTTTCTTGGACATTTATTCCCTGCACAAAATCAAAATGGCAAAGAAGAAAGAGAGAAAAAAGGAAAAGTGCATTCATATCTGGTCTTGAAAAGGAAACAGTCTGTTCTAAGCCTTAAAAGCTGTACTTAATTGGATAAATTTTGGAAAAACACTCATCAGAGCAGAGCAGCACACAGTCAAAATGTAGCCTCTGTCTCAGATTCACAATCAGGTCTGATTTTTATGTACCAAATACTGAAATTATTTTTAATCAAAAATGTTCAGATCTTTATACTAAAGTAACTCTAAAAATTAAAAACTTAGAAGTATTTCTAACTTAGGGCATGGAATTTCAAAACAGACATTCTATATTTATATTAGTGTAATGCAAAAAGCACTAGTTTCTGTTGAAGCTACATTTGATTCAACAAGTTTTAACAAAACATAGTGTGTTAAGACTGCTTAGCAAAACTTATCCAATGTTTTTAAATTTACATATATATACACATATATATATGTATATATATATATATACATATATATATATATATATACATATATATATGGGGGGAGTTTGGTTTTTTTATGGTTGGTTTGTTTTTGTCTGAGCCAGAGTCTTGCTGTTGCCCAGGCTGGCCACAAGCAATCCTGCCACCTCAGCCTCCCAAACAGCTGGGACTACTACAGCAGGCATGAGCCACCATGCCCAGCTATTTATTTATTTTTGTAGAGACAGAGCCCCACTGTGTTGCCCACGGTGGTCTCGAACTCCTGAGCTCAAAGGATCCTCCTGCCTCAGCCTCCCAAAGTGTTGGGATTACAAGGCATGAGCCACCACACCCAGCCCAAAATTTTTTAAATAGTTCAACTTAAGAAGTTATGAGAATTTTCCATAGGCCATTGCAAAGGAAAAAAAAAAAAGTTATGATAATTTATTAATTAAGAAATTGAATTTGAATGAAAGCAAAGGTCACAAAGAAGAAAGCAGGCATAACATCTCCCCACATCCTACATCTAGGATGTAGGAAAGGAGAGAGCTACAGACTCAGGCTGAACCCAGTTACTGATCATCTCCAGGACCCGCTTTCCACCAACCTAAGTACAATTCTCACTTTCCATCCTCAAACGGCACATTCACAACTCCACTTGCTCCATAATCCAACAACCATGCCAACGTAATCAGAAAGCACCACCTCACTTCTTAGAGGAAGACAAGAACTAGATTTGGTTTGACTAAACTAAGGAGACAAAATGCCAGCCTTCAAATAAAATAACCACCATATCACCTCTGAAGAATTATTCAAATCTCATCAGCACACTTCCATCAGGCACATCACGACACAAAGCGGAATGTTCAGTGGTGGCAGAACAGCTGCCCAGAGCAGTAAGAGATATGAGCAAGGGATCTGTTGACAATCTAATTTCAGCTACCTCGAGATTCCACAAAGATGACAGCCTGCGTCCTCAGAAATGCCGCCGCAAGCCGCAAGCCTCACCCACTATCAGAGTACTCTGGTTTACTTCTTCTCTGCAAGTTAAGCAACTATGAAAATCTATCTATCCAATGCTGTATGGCTACTAGAGGCCTCCATACTGATACAGTGGCCTTAGCAATCCTCAGATTGCCCTTTGCACCTGTAAAGCATCAGCGGCTTCCACAGCCCCCGCACTGGACGCAGATGAACACAAAACACAGAATTTCACCCCAACAAAAATGGAATCTTGACGGCAGTTTACCTAGGAAGCTCATTTAGCAATCAAGGGGGAAAAAAGTGATCTGGAAGCTCCATTCCGGCGTTAGGGCCGGGAATGTTTTGTGTTGCCTGAACAATGACTAGCTTGCTCAAGCAGCCTCCCAACCCCCACAACTTGGCTTCTGGTCTGGCCAGTCACCCTGAAAGCTGCCAGGGCTGTCACTCGGTGCCTTCCAGCAACTGGACTTGCCTCCTAAAGGATTTGTCAGATCATCCTCCCAACATGGCTGCCCGAGTAATCCCGGTGCTGAACGCCGAGACCACACCAGCCTTCCTCACACCTGGCCAGCATCCAACATGCCCCCTCCCTTCCCATCGCACCCCTCTTTCCAGGCCTCGATCCCTCGGCTCCCCCAGTGCCAAGCGATGACCTTTCCTATCTCCATCTGGCAAAAGGGCATAACCACCCACATTCCCAGCCGAAGCCCGATGCCCACCATAAAGGGGGAAAAGGGAGAAGGGAAAAAAACGATGGCTTCAAACGGAGCGGGGCCATCCCCCCGTGCTGCAACGTGCGCTGAGCCCAGGAAACCGCCAGGCAGCGGCGGGTCCGGAGGGCGCTGGGCACAGCCGGAGCCTGGCAGCGCAGGGCAAACGGAGGGCCGGTGCGGGGCACTGCGGGGGCCCCAGCCGGCCGCTGGACGCCAGCCCGGGACTCGCAGCTGGCCGAGGGAGGGGTTTCCACCCCAGAGGGCGAGGCTCCCGCACCCAGCCCCCCGCCCCGCGCTTCCTCCCGCCAGACCCCGCCCGGCCCCCAGCCCAGCCGCTGCCCACCGCGGGAGCGACCCCCTCTCCGCTCCGGCGGCCGCGGCGCCAACCCCCGCCCGGCCGCCTTACCTCAGCCGCGGCGCGGACCGACGGGCAGACCGGGTCAACAGGAGCCGCGGCGCGCGGGGGCGCAGAGGGCCGGGCACCGACGCACCTCAGCGCGAGCAGCGGCCGCCGCAAGCCGCAGGGCGCCGCTCTGCAGCCCCATCACGCAGCAGCCCGGCTCCGCATCGAGGTGGGAGGTGGGCGGCGGGCGGGAGAGCGCGAGTGCTGGAGGCCGGGACGCGGCGACGGCCGGCGGGGACGGCTGCGGAGGACTGGGAGCGGCTCCCAGGAGCGCTGCCGTCAGACTGCCTCGCGTCGGTCCTCGCGAAACTCCGCCCGCGGTCGCCGGCGCGGGACACCGCCCCGAGCTGGGCCTCTGCGCGTCACCTCGGCCCGCCCCGGCGCCCGCGACGGACGGGGACTACAGCCAATCACAGAGCGGAGCTCGAGGAAGCGGGCCAATCGCAGGGGGAGACGGGGAGCAGGGCGGCTGCCGGGGGCTGCAGGGACGCCCGAGCGCCCCCTGGTGGCCCCGGGGGGCCGGCGAGATGCATGAATGTGAGCGCCCCCTGGTGGCCCCGGTGCCGGCGCGATGTAGGGGTGCGGGGCTGGCCAAAGCCGGAGCCGGAGTTCCCTCCCCGGTGACCCCAAGGGCGTTCGTCGGCATCAGCCGTGCCCAGCCCACCCCGATAATCCTCCTCATCCGGGGACAAAAGATTGACTGAGTAGAGCGAGGCGGGGCCCAGGGGTCCAGATGCTCGCGGAGGAGCTGGGATCAACATGGGAGGCGTCGCGAGTGGAGTCATTGTCCGTCTGGAAAACACCTCGCGGGCGGAACCGGCCGAACGCGGCGTGTGGGAGCGGAACCCCGCGAAGGGATGAGCGCAGCCCGCGGGAAGCTGCCGGGCCTGTTCTTACCGCACCCGAGCGCAACACCTCCCACGCGCCACCTCGGGAGAGAAGGCGGAATGAGTAATGGAAAAGCATGACTTGGTGGGCATTCCACTTGTCTCCTTGGGAGACCGCGGAAGGGCCGTGAAGGCAGGAACAAACGCTTTGCAGCGTCGCCGAGTTAATGAGCCCAGCCCCCTTCTGGGAGATGCCCTTGGAGGACGCACAGTGGAAATCAGAAACCCGGAGGGCACAAAAGCGCGACAGGGATTTCTTTAAAATCAGATTTAGGTTCAGCTCAAAATAAAAATCTCACTGTTCATGAACAGTTCAATTCGGTACTTAATACAATATCATCTTCAGTGATAACATATGCAATGATCAGGCCCAGGCTAGCACTGTTACTTTATAAGGTTGTGAAATGTTTTTTTATTTACTAGCAGATGTTGAAAGTAAAATCAGATTCCCTCCCCTGAATTCAATACAGTATTATTTTGAGTAAAAGGCATTATTTACAATCATATGCACTAAAACATCGAAATTAATTTTCTGCACTAATAATTCTGGAAAATCTCCACCACCACTCAAGTCCTCAGATTCTTCGCTTTTATTGATCGCTTCTCATTTTATTTAGAATTTAAACTCCACGTACCGGCAAAAGGATTTGACATAGTTTACACTAAAGCATACAGCAGTGAAATTGTATGGCATTAAAATGGGCGTAAAATTCATAATAATAAACAAGTAATAAGAGACTATTTGTAAAAGCTGTTTGAATAAGAGGCATGCCTAGAAAGTTTTTTTGTTTTGTTTTGTTTTATTTTTGAGAAGGAGTTTCACTCTGTTGCCAGGCGGGAGTGCAATGGCACACTCTCGGCTCACTGCAACCTCCGCTTCCGAGGTTCAAGTGATTCTCCTGCCTCAACCTCCTGAGTAGCTGGGATTACAGGCGCTGGCCGCCACGCCCAGCTAATTTTTGTAGTAGAGAAGGAGTTTCACCGTGTTGGTCAGGCTGGTTTTTGAACTCCTGACGTCAGGTAATCCAAAAGTGCTGGGATGAGCCACGGCACCCGGCCAGAAAAATAATATTTTTAAAAATCAGAGTCAAGGAAATATGTTACCACTGAGCACAGAACACAGCTCTGAGCTTCCTGAAGGCTAAGAGAAAAATGAAACTCCAGTAGGTTAATAAACAGGAGCTCATCAATTCAACAGTAGACACCACTTCATCCTAGGGTGGACCTGGTTGCCTAAGGACTGTGATGAGCACCATGGAGAGTTACAAAAACCTGAGTGACGATATTGCTTGAGCTCTCAGTGGAGCACAATCTAAAAAGAACCTAAAATATAGCGAAGAATCTGGCAGGGTTTCTCACGCCTGTAATCTCAACACATTGGGAGGCTGAGGTGGGCAGATCACTTGGGGTCAGGAGTTTGAGACCAGCCTGACCAACATGGCAAAACCCTGTCTGTACTAAAAAATACAAAAATTAGCCAGGCGTGGCGGGCAAACCTGTAATCCCAGCTACTTGGGAGCCTGAGGCAGGAGAATCATTTCAACCAGAGAGGCGGAGGTTTCAGTGGGCTGAGATTGCACCACACCACTGCACTCCAGCCTGGGAGACAGAGTGAGACTCCGTCTCAATTAAAAATAAAATAAAAATAAAACAGAGTGAAGAGGATATTATGGTGATCGGCAGGAGAAGAAGCCAGCCAAAGGGCACAGAGCAGGGTCAATAAAGGCAGAGAAGGCTGCTCCAGGATCCAAAGCCAATCAGCCCACTCCGCATAAGCCTTTTGCCTCTCTGACAGGTGGAGTCACTCTGCTCAGCCAGTTTCTCAGATTACAAGTTCTGTTCAAAAGCATCTCTTTAAAATAGTAAATAAATTACTAGAAAATTGAATTTAGTGATGACCTGGTAGGACTGTTCTCTGGAATGCAAGACACGGCATTGAAAAATCTAGTACTGTGATGCACGGTCACACTCCTGGCACAATCACTCTCAGGTTTCTGGATACAAAATCAATATACAAAAATACAAAATGTTCCTTTTTTTTTTTTTTTTAAAAGAGGTAGTATTGCTCTGTTGCCAGACTGGAGTGCAGTTGCACAATTTTGGCTCACTGCAACCTCCGCCTCCTGGGTTCAAATGATTCTCCTGCCTCAGCCTCCTGAGTAGCTGGGATTACAGGCGTGCACAACCATGCCCAGCTAACTTTTGTATTTTTAGTAGAGACAGGGTGTCACCATGTTGGCGAGGATGGTCTCGATCTCTTGACCTTGTGATACACCCTCCTCAGCTTCCCAAAGTGCTGGGATTACAGGTATGAGCCACCATGCCTGACCCTAAGTATTCCTTTCTAATAGGAAGGCTTTATTATTATTATTATTATTTTAGACAGAGTCTCACTCTGTCACCCAGGCTAGAGTGCAGTGGTGTGATCACAGCTTACCATAGCCTCAACCCCTGCCCCTGGTTCAATCCATCCTTCCACCTCAGCCTCCCGAGTAGCTGGTACTGTAGACACATGCCACCATGACTGGCTAATATTTCTATTTGTTTGTAGAGATGGGGTTTCACCATGTAGCACAGGCTGGTATTAAACTCCTGGACTCAAGTGATCCATCAGCCTCAGTCTCCCAAAGTGCTGAGACTACAGGTGTGAGCCACTGAGCCTGGCCTTTATTGCTATTTTTAATGGGACCTTTTTTAGAAATCAAGTCTTCCTGGCCAGGTGCTGTGGCCCACACCTGTAATCCCAGTACTTTGGGAAGTGGAGTAAGCAGATCACTTGAGCCTTGGAGTTTGAGACAAGCCTGGGAAACATAACAAGACCCTATCTCTACAAAAAATAACAAAGAAAAAAAATTGGCCAGGCATGGTGGTATGTTCCTGTAGTTCTAGCTGCTCATGAGGCTGAGTTGGGAGGATCGACTGAGCCTGGAAGGTTGCAGTGAGCCGAGATCACGCCACTGCACTCCAGCCTGGCACCTGGCGACAGAGTGAGATTCTGTCTCAAAAAAAAAAAAAAATGCAAAAAGTAAGCCAGGTGTGGTGGTGCATTGCGTATAACCCCAGCTACTCAGAAGGCTCAGGCAGGAGAATCACTTGAATCTGGGAGGCGGAGGCTGCAATGAGCCCAGATTGTGTCACTGCACTCCAGCCTGGGCAAAAGAGCAAGATTCAATTTATATATATATATGTATATAAAGAATAAATGAGAAAGACTTATATGGGAAAAAGGTATGCAACTGTACTGAAACACATTAAAGAAGGCCTGAATAAATGGAGAGGTATTATTTATTCTGGGACAAGAAAAAAAATAAAGATGTCAGTTCTAAGCAAGTTAATCTATAAACTTAAGGTAATTCTAATCAAAATTTCAACATTACACATTTTCTATGGAATTTAACAAGGTAATGGTAAAATGTATATGACAAATGTATTTCATGTCTTTTTTTTTTTTTTTTTTTTTTTTTTTGAGACAGAGTTTCCCTCTTGTTACCCAGGCTGGAGTGCAATGGCGCGATCTCGGCTCACTGCAACCTCCACCTCCTGGGTTCAGGCAATTCTCCTGCCTCAGCCTCCTGAGTAGCTGGGATTACAGGCACACGCCACCATGCCCAGCTAATGTTTTGTATTTTTAGTAGAGATGGGGTTTCACCATGTTGACCAGGATGGTCTCGATCTCTTGACCTTGTGATCCACCCGCCTCAGCCTCCCAAAGTGCTGGGATTACAGGCTTGAGCCACCGCGCCCGGCTCCTCATGTCTTTAAAAAAAAAAAAAAAAAAATTCAGGCTGGATGCAGTGGCTCACGTCTGTAATCCCAGCACTTTGGGAGGCCGAAGTGGGTGGATCATGAAGTCAAGAGATCGAGACCATCCTGGCCAACATGGTGAAACCCCATCTCTACTAAAAATACAAAAATTAGCCGGGCATGGTGGCACACGCCTGTTGTCCCAGCTACTTGGGAGGATGAGGCGGAAGAATTGCTTGAACACAGGAGGTGGAGGTTGCAGCGAGCCTGTCGACAGAGCAAGACTCTATCTCAAAAAAAAAAAAACAACAAAATTCATATAACAAAGCCACCCATGGCAATTTTGAAGAATGAGATGTGGGGACTTGCCCATAAGGTATGAAGATTCTAACATTGTGCTGATTAGCATGCTATTGTATTGACACAAGAATACAGAAATATAAAAATGGAACACCCTGGTATTGACAC